GTTGCTTCTGGGAAGAGGAATAGGCGTCGCAAGAGGAGTTGCTGAACTTCAGGATGGTCGCACTGTGGTCCTCGTCACGAACTTCCGAAATGAAGCGCAACACCTCACTAAAGGTGCAGCCGTGGGCCAGGTCGAGGAACTCCAAAACTCCGCCGCTGTCGCCGCCATTACTGACGAATTCTCGCCACCTCAGCAAGACAGTGCGTCGCCAGCGCAGCTCGACATTGACCCTAAACTCCCGGGCCCAAAACGACGACAGTTGATTAACCTTCTCGCCGAATACCGCGACTGCTTTGCCACGTCGTCGAAGGTGCGCCAAACCACCGTTGCGAAGCACCGCATCGTTACCGAGGACGACGCGCGCCCGGTGCATCGATCGCCATACAGAGTCTCCGTTAAAGAAAGGCAGGCGATCCAGGAGCAAGTTCAAGAAATGCTGAACGACGACATAATTCAACCTTCAAGCAGTCCTTGGGCCTCTCCAGTCGTACTGGTTAAGAAGAAAGACGGGACGCTTAGGTTCTGTGTAGACTACCGGCAGCTGAACACGGTGACGAAGAAAGACGTCTACCCACTCCCCCGCATCGACGACACTCTAGACCGGCTGCGCCACTCTCGATATTTCTCATCGATGGACCTGAAGAGCGGCTACTGGCAGATCGAAGTCGACGAAAGGGACCGAGAAAAGACAGCCTTCGTCACGCCGGATGGACTGTACGAGTTCAAAGTGATGCCCTTCGGACTGTGCACGGCGCCAGCAACTTTCCAACGTGTCATGGACACCGTACTGGCAGGACTAAAGTGGCAGAGCTGTCTCGTCTACCTCGACGACGTCGTCGTGTTTTCCAGCGACTTCGACGAGCACTTGCGACGACTCCGAGCAGTTCTCCAAGCCATACGGACCGCCGGACTCACCCTGAAGCCGTCAAAGTGTCGGTTCGCTTATGACGAACTGAAGTTCCTCGGCCACGTGGTTAGTAACGAAGGTGTCCGCCCAGACCCCGAGAAGACTCGTGCCGTCGCAGCATTTCCAGCGCCAAGAGACAAGAAGGCCGTCCGAAGGTTCCTTGGGCTATGTGCCTACTATCGGCGCTTCGTTCGAGATTTCGCAAGAATTTCCGCACCGCTCACACACCTCACGAAGGACGCCGAGAAGTTCGAATGGGCCGATGAACAGCAGCAGGCATTTGACGAGCTGAAGCGACGACTACAGACTCCTCCTGTTCTTGGACATTTCGACCAGGATGCGGAAACCGAGATTCACACGGACGCAAGTAACGCAGGGCTTGGCGCGGTTTTGGTTCAAGTACAAGAAGGCACCGAGCGAGTCATCGCCTACGCAAGTCGGACATTGACCAAGGCGGAGAGAAATTACTCCACGACTGAGAAAGAATGCCTTGCGGTCGTCTGGGCAATCACAAAGTTTCGTCCGTACTTATACGGGAGCCCGTTCCGGGTAGTCACGGACCACCACTCGCTCTGCTGGCTTGCGAACCTCAAGGACCCGTCAGGACGCCTCGCGCGGTGGAGTCTCCGACTACAAGAGTTCAACATGACCGTCGTCTACAAGTCAGGCCGCAAGCACAGCGACGCCGACTGCCTGTCCAGAGCTCCCGTCGCAACACCTTCCGGCAGCAGCGACGACGATGACGACGAGTGTTTTCTGGGCGCAGTGAACATCGACGACATGGCCCGGCGTCAACGAGACGATCCTGAGCTGCGCGCACTAATAGAGCACCTGGAAGGGCGCGGGAGTGCGATGCCACGTGTTTTTTCACGAGCGCTGCCGACCTTCGCCATTAGACAAGGTGTACTCTACAAAGAGAACTTCGGGAACAACAACTCGCCATGGCTGCTGGTAATCCCGACCGACCTTCGGGAGGAGATCTTTCAAGCCTGCCACGACGACCCGACGTCCGGACACCTTGGTTACAGCCGGACCCTGGCACGTATTCGTGAAAAGTATTACTGGCCCAAGCTCCCCAAAACCGTCCACCTGTACACGCGATCATGTCATGAATGCCAGCGACGAAAGAAACCTCCGACGAGGCCGGCCGGACTCTTGCAGTCAATTCCTCCGCCAACAGCACCCTTCCAGCAGATCGGAATGGATCTACTTGGCCCTTTTCCGCCGTCGACGTCGGGAAATCGCTGGATCATCGTCGCCACAGATTATCTCACGCGGTATGCCGAAACGAAAGCCCTTCCTTCCGGAACTGCTGTGGAAGTTGCCAAGTTTTTCATTGAATCCATCGTCCTCCGGCACGGCGCTCCCGAAGTCCTGATCTCAGACCGTGGATCATCATTCATGGCCCAGCTGACGCAAGAAGTCCTTCGTCTCAGCCACACCAGCCATCGCCGCACCACAGCGTACCACCCGCAGACCAACGGGCTGACGGAGCGACTCAACAAGACAATCGCCGATATGATCTCTATGTACGTCGACGTGGAGCACAAGACGTGGGACGAGGTGCTGCCCTACGTCACGTTCGCCTACAATACGGCGGTTCAAGAGACCACTGGATTCACCCCTTTCCAGCTGGTACATGGTCGGAAGGTAACGACCATGCTGGACGCCATGCTGCCCCATGAGCCATTTGACAACGAGAGCGACGACGCCCAGGCGGTTGCTCAACGCGCCGAAGAAGTTCGCCAGCTCGCCCGACTCCTGATTCAAGACCAGCAACGCGTCGACGCCGGCCGCTACAACCTTCGTCGCAGGGACGTCCACTTCCAGCCCGGAGATAGGGTGTGGGTATGGACGCCCATCCGTCGCCGCGGCCTCAGTGAGAAACTGCTGAAACGGTACTTTGGACCATACAAGGTACTTCGTCGCCTCGGCGAACTGAACTACGAGGTGATGCCCGACGGAACACGAACATCGTCACGCCGCCCACCACGACCTGAGGTCGTCCACGTCGTGCGCCTGAAGCCGTACTACGCTCGATAGGACTGTGGACCTTTTGTGCTCCAAAAGACTCTTTAGTTTATCGTTCTTTTTTATTTTGATTTGTTTTACACTGCATCGGGGCGATGCAGTTTTAAAGGGGGGAGTAATGCCGCGCGCAAGGCTGAGAAAGCAACGCTCGGTCACGGTCCTCCAGAAAGTTCCCGTTTATTCATGTACCGCACGTAACTTCTATCATTTATCCCTGCTTTTGTTTTCTAGAAAGTGCGTGTTCATTCTCGCCCCGATCACGCGACGCTCGAACCGCTTTCGCCGAATCTTCGAGATAGCGGCGCACTCTAGATAAGAGGCCGCCCGCGACCTTGTCGAGTCATTTTCGCCCCAGCGTTCGATCCTGCGGTTTCGCCGACATCGACGCCCGCGACGCTCTGCTGTTTTCTTTTGTACCCTTTTATTTTTGGCACAAGTTCGCCACATTAAACGTTTATTTCTTCCTGTTTATTTCTTGTTTATTGGTCACCACCCGTGACAATATGAGCTGCAAGGAGGGGAAGGAAGCGTTGATCGACTGCAAGCGTTTCTGCCTTTCCGCCTGCTTCCGTACTCGCCACGAGACTACGCAGCGCGTACGCACTTGCGACCAATTTTCGCAGGAGGCTTCCGCCATTAAATTGCAAACGCTAGCCATTGGTTAGAGATGAACACCCTGTTAAGTCTATGCGGAGCGCAGTTGCGTCGGCTTATTTCACAGGGGTTGCGATCATGTCAGAACGCCAAGCTCTTATTGGATGATGGGAAAAAGAAGTAGTGGGTAGACCTGAAGGCATCTAGCATTGATTTCTACCCACTATTCTTTCAATCAAAGCTAACCGGATTTCGGCGTCGTTCTGACGTCACCGCAACTCCTGCGTGGGAAGCAGACGACTTGCTCTCCGCATAGACTCTCTGCACCACCGAGCAGACCCCTGGTGCCTGAGTACGGCAAAATGGAACAAAACACTCGAGCAATCTCAACCCGTTTCGGCAGAGGGAGCATTTCTAAAGTAGTGTAGGCTTTGCTTTCTTTGCTTCTCCGTTACTCTTTCTTTGCGCTCATTCTCTTGTGACACTTGGAGTGCGCTCCTTTGACGGAGTAGAGCTCCCTTGTGTGTCTGTGAACACGTGATGTTTAAGCCCCGCCGGGAGTATCAAGGAGGCACTCGAGGAAGAAATTCAGCTGGCACTGTGCAGAAAACCAGCAAAGTGTCAGCGATCGGCTGCCAGTGCACCTGTCAACTTCCACTGCTGGCACCTAACTGGATATGTTTAAGTGCCAGCCACATGACATATTCTGTATTAAACCGAATCGCAAAACAAGTTATGTTTATAGATTGTTTGTTTTCTGTGCAAAATGCATACACTGTAGTCTTCCATGTTTCGGAGAAAAATTTATAAAAGACGGATGATAGATTTCTGCCCTCAGAACCGGGCGATAGTTTACACCACTATTCTCAGTTGCAGTGTAACTTGGCAGAGAACGAACGCAATGGCTCTCCCCAGTCAAACAAAACTACGGAGCGAAGCCCGTGACAGCTCTCTGCAGGAGGAGTATAAGACTCTATAGCGACCTTTTGCCACCTGTCTCGCTTCGACCCTCTCATTGGCGCTCCTGGGTAATACCTGTTGCCGCTTGCCATAGAGAAGTGCAACAGAGTTCGAGCTCAAACCACCTCGTCAGTATGTCGTCCCTACCAATAATTCAAACCGATTATAAGGTCGTGAAGCTTATGCTTACAAAAATTCGTATCCCGCAGCAACGTCGTACCTCTTACTAATGCATGATTTCTAGAGTCAGTGACATTAAAGACCCAGCATATGCTCCGCCTCCACCACGGCCTGGCTGCCTGCAGCTGGGCTTTGGCTGCGCGTGAAACCAAGTGCCATGGAAAGCGAAAAGCTTCCGCTCGAAGCAGAGCATCTACTATGTTCTTAATTTGTCACCGACTATCAAGGAACACTTTCAAAGTTTACTGCTTGATGCACAGCAATAGCAAAAACCAGCACCGGTCCCTACGACGGTGTTGGTACTAATTTCTTCTTTGGACAACCGCAGGTGTCGGCCCCCGGCTTCCACACTTCGAAGCAGGACTTCGTCGTCATGGACCAGCAGATCTCTATTCTGAACGTGACGCTCAAGTCGCTACAGGCCCCCACGGACAACTTCGTGGAGTTGACGCGGCCGCAGCAGCCGGTGTCTCCGTCCAGTGCAGAGACACTCAAAATGAGATGATGCGCCAAAGATAAGATAAAGTAGAACAACTTATACCTGAAACGTAGGGACGTTCACGAACAATTTGGATTTCATTTGGAACTACCGAATACTACTGCAGTGCTCGAACATTAAGCGCGTCTTTCTGACATAGTTTACGTGATAATGTAGTGATTGCGCAGGCGAGCTGGTGGATGTTAACCATTTTGTTCTTAGCCCGAGACTGAGGCAGGAAAAGAGGAAAGTTTCGAAGTAGAAGAAAAATGAACAGTCGAGGACACGTCTCTAACACAGCTCTGTTAGAGGAGCTGTGTTAGAGACGTGTCCTCGACTGTTCATTTTTCTTCTACTTCGAAACTTTCCTCTTTTCCTGCCTCAGTCTCGGGCTAAGAACAAAATAGTTTACGTGTCATCTTCATTATATTGGAGTTTGTGCTGTGCATTTTTAAGTCATGGTTTGACCAAATTTAATGGATCGTAGTATTAGCAGACGCGATTTTCACAACTTACACAAAAAAAATAGAAAGCGAACAGTGTTTTTTTACATAAAATACTTAAACTGCAGAGTTCAACATTTGCACGAATACAAGGCTATAAATTTTGCAACTTATTATAATGTTTCTATACTTAATGCGCTTTATGTAAAAATATTAAAGTGATATTTCGGAACTTCCAATAAAATAATGGAATCTAACAATGTGGCAGAATATATGCAGGCGAAAAGCCTGTGCGTAAAAGGATGGACGCCCTTTTCTGGTGCAACGCTCCCCCCCCCCCCCCTCCCCCCGCAAAAAAATGCCTAAATTTTGAAGGGGAAAGCATGACATTAAAGCATTACCATATTAGCTAAGAACGCGTTACTGTTGTATGCATATGCACTCTAAGAATATGTATTATACACTGGTACACGGTGCGTAAAGTATACAATAAAGAGAGATTGTTTGGTTTTTCTATGACTGTCTCGTATTTTCTAAGACGACTACGGAGCAGTGGCTCGCACGACATCCTCGCGCCAGTCCGCATGTGCCGACTCGGCCTGCATAAATTCTTTGTATGTTCTATCACCGTGAGCTGTCCTGTCCTCTCTACTGCCGAGAGCATCACCCTAAAGGCCGTTTCCAACATGCAGTCGAGCGCTAATGTAACGCTGTTCAGTTGTCGTCAGCTACTTATCGTCTGCCATGAGCAACCGCTTTGACGGTGCGATACAAATGTGGTGTACGCTCCCGCCAGCACGCGCATGGCCACAATGTCAGCGCTGTGCTTATAGCGCTCCGCTGCATCTGTGAACAGGCCTTAAGAGTATGGTGGAGGTGCGGAGCCATCATCATACCCTGCAGTGACCATTGTCGCCGTTATCAACCGGCCATCGCCTCGTTGTCGCAGCCATCCGCAGCCACGGACCCAACGCCAGCCCATGGCTCCGTCGCCCAGACCCCGACCAGACGACGAAGCCTAATCAGACGAAGCCAAATCAGAAGAAGTCGACCGACCATCCTCCGCCGCGATCCCCAGACACCGACGTTCCGACGCTTCTTGACGTTAGTCCCCCAGGCCGGGCCCTGCCGTCGTGCGGCTGTTTCTGGTGCAGAAATCTTTGACGCTACGGAAATGTCCAAAACTCAACGTCTCCATCTTCATCCCCTCCGCCGCTGTCGGCTGTTACGTCTGCGACGGGAAACACCTTCCTGCCCTTTACACTTTGTTCCCCGGAGCTGTTGTCGAAGGCCCTCGGACCGGGCCTCCCCACTTGCTGGTCCGACCGGCACCGGGGAACGCTGTTTAGACAAGCCTTGAGCTGTTGTTGACGGACGGCGTCATCCTAAATCGTGTACGTGCCGCCGGGGGATCGGTCGAGTCATCCGACAACGTGTTTGTGTCCCGAGAACCGGAGGCATTGCCGGGCGGGGAGTCCGGTTACGGCGCCGGCGGCGGGACCTCTGAGCGAGTGCGGTCGGATCGGGTTCAATCAATCAAATCTTTTTATTCTCCAGAAATTCTGGAGGGGAGCCTAGGCAAAAAGCTGTTCAAGAACAGCTTGACTGGGCTCAGGCTCCCCCGTTTACAGGCAGCAGCATTCAATAGAGAAAACAAAGAATGAATACACAGTACGCACACATATAGATACATGAAAATAAATGCTACAATTCATTCAAAAAATGAAAATACAATAAAAACCAACTAAATAACATACGACAAGATGTCTTTCTTGCTAGCCGAATATATATCTATGTTCTTGGTGAGATATGTATTTAACAAAGATGGAAGAATATGCCGCAGGGATTGCAGATTGTAGTTTGTACGTGACCGAGGGATAGCCCAAAACTCTGTACGACGTGTGCTGACGATGCTGAGGTTTTCAGTTAATTGCGAAATACAATATAAGAATTCAATAACTGATGGCGGTGCGAAACGAATGGAACACATCAGGCGGTATTCATACAAATGCTTAATAGGAAGGATATTATACTTAGTAAACAGAGGTTCAGTGTGATCAAGATAATGTACTTCCGCAATGTGTCGTAAGACCTTTTTCTGGAGCAAAAATAATTTATTTATATTTGTTTTAGTTATAGTAGCCCAGATGAGATGACAGTAATTCAAATGAGACTGAAATAATGCGTGAAATATTTTTAACTTAACATGAAATGGCAAAATACCACGACAACGAGCAAATACACCGACAATACGAGACAGTTTCGAAATCAAAAAGTTTACATGAGCGTCCCAGGTCACATGTTCGGAAAAGTATACACCTAATATTTTGTGCTGGTTCACGATTTCTATTTCCGAATTGCCAAGTAGAATTGGGCTATGAGTTAAGATAGACTTATTTACGGATCTAAAAATAATTGCTTTGCATTTCTTCGCATTAATCCTGAGCGCGTTAGCCTCTGACCATAAAAAGAAGTTCTGAAGAACAGAATTTGCGCGACATATTAATTCATCGGCACTATCCGCAGAAAAAAAAAGGCTTGTATCATCGGCATAAATGATGAACTGTGCTTGGTTATCAACGTTTACAATGTCGTTGATGTAAACATTAAACAGAAAGGGCCCAAGTATACTTCCTTGAGGTACCCCACAAGGAACGTCTTGAAAAGAGGAAGCATGATTATTAATGACAACAGACTGTTTACGATCTTTTAAGTATGACTCAATTAGCTTATGGGGTACGCCACGGACACCATAGTAGTCTAGTTTTGCCAGCAATGTTTTATGATTTAACACGTCGAAAGCTTTAGAAAAGTCGATGAACACGCCTAATGTAAGCAACCTTTTTTCTATACCTTGTAATATAATTTCTTTTTGCAGCAGTAAAGCTGTCTCGGTGGATTTACCTTTCCTAAATCCAAATTGAAATCCTGTTAATACAGACTGTTTAAGAAAAAAGTCATTGAGGCGCATAAAGATAATTTTCTCAAGTGCCTTAGAAAACACAGGTAGCACCGATATAGGCCTGTAGTTGGTGACAACGTTTGAGTCACCACCTTTATGTATTACTGAAACTTTAGCCAATTTCATATTAGTGGGAAATTTACCTGACGATAAAGACAGATTATATATGTGTGTTAGGCAGGGTACGATGATATCCATCACGAATTTGACAGGTTTCAATTGTAGTTCATCAACATCTGTGCTTTTAGTGTTCTTAAGTCCTAGAAAAATGTTAAATATCTCTTGGTCGTCAGTTGGGGCTAGAAAAAAGGTATGGCTACTACGCGTGAGCTTCAAAAGGGCATCGTCATTATAAGGTTTGGGTTGCAGATTTAGAAAACCCGTGTTGAAATATTCCGCCAAAGGCACACCAAACATAGCTTGGCCATCAATTTTTAATTCGCCTATGCGAGGAGGAATTTTACAACGATTCAGGACTTCGTTAATCATTTTCCATATAATATCAGGGCGTTTTTTAGTAGCATCCTCGAACTTGCGCTTATAGTACAGCGTCTTCGCTTTCCGGAGTTCAGACGTTAGGACGTTCCGAAATTTTTTAAAAGTTAACAACTTGTTGTTATCTCTCGATGTGAGAAACGATTTGTATAGGCGGGCTTTTTTTTTTTTTTTTTTGCATCATTTTAATATGTATGGGTGTCACCCAAGGTTTTCTTATTTTGTTGGTCACAGTTATAGTTTTAAATGGAAAATGTAGATCGTAAAGTCTTTGAAAAACATTTAAAAACTCGATGTACGCATCATCCACATCCAGCTTAGAATGAACTGAGCTCCAATTATGGTCCAAAACTGCATTTCTGAAGGCCAGCAGGCAACTATCTGACATGTTCCTGAAGGTGACCGTAGCCTTTGCAACCTTTTTTTTCAGGTCATGATTAAACAGAGACAAAAAAATTGGAAGATGATCGCTAATATCAGCACACATGGTTCCAGAAGCGTGTAGTTTCGTAATGCGATTCGTGATGAAAAGATCAATTGCATTAGATGTGGTCTGGGTGATCCTAGTAGCTGACGTAATGATATTAACAAACCCACTTGAGCTGAGCACATTTTTGAGCTCAATAGTTTGAAAAGAATCATCTAGAATGTTAACGTTGAAGTCTCCTCCCATAACTACGCTAAACTTGTTAATCGAAACATGTTCAAAAAAGCGATCGAGAAAAGCGATAAATTTTCCAAAGTCTCCCAATGGTGGGCGATACAAAACAGTTATGATGTAGTTTCCTATTTTTAGGCTTAAAACCTCGTAGTCACTTGTTAGTCCTGAAAAAGTGTTCAACAGCTCGCATTCAAGGGAAGTCTTTACGTAAATTGACACGCCTCCCCCTCTCTTATCCTGACGGTTTAAGAAATAGTGCTTGTAACCGGGTAAAACCAACATGTCAGCATCCTGCTGATACCAGGTTTCTGAGAACATTATTATCTCAAATGACACGCGGCATCGGTTCAAAAAGGATGTTATAACGTCATGTTTATTTTTTACAGATCGCGCATTCAAGTGAAAAATACGGGTAAAATTTCCAGCTAGCAGACACTGACTAAGGTCTTCAGGCAAGACAAGTTCAAAGTACTCCATTTGAGACGACATGCAAAAGATGAAAAGAATGACATAAGCAGGAAGCTGGACTAACAAATCTTTTCAACTGCAGCTTCATTATCAATTGTGATTACTGAAGCGCTTTCATTCTTACG